ATGCCAGGAGGTCGTGCCCTCGGGGTTGATTTCACCGCGTAGGGAAGGGTGGGCCAAAACCTTTTTTTTAATCCGTTTTTTTCTTGCTATCTCTCTCTCCCTCTCTCTTTCTCTTTCTCTCTCTCTCGCTTGCTTGCTTGCTCTCTCTCTCTCTCTCTCTCTCTCTCTCTCTCTCTCTCTCTCTCTCTCTCTCTCTCTCTCTCTCTCTCTCTCTCTCTTTCTCTCTGAATCTGCCTGTCTCTGTCTCACTTTCTATCCCTCTCTTTCTTTATATATTTTTCTTTGTTTCTTTATTTCTATGCACGTTTTACCTTTCTCTCCCCTTCTGCTCTTTCATCATTTCTCACAATTTCTTTCTCTATGCCTTTCCCTCATTTTTACCTTTCTCTCTTTCCCTCTCCTTTTTTAATCTATTTCTCTTTCTTTGTTTTTACTTTTCTTGCAATTTCTCTGACCCTTTCCCTCTTTTTTTCTCTTCTTTTTCTTCACTCCCTCTCTCTTTCTTTAATTTTACTTCGCTTTTTATCGCAATCACAAAGAAAACGAGTCAGGAAAGCGATGGTCGTTATATCAAACTCGTAAAACAACCCAACAAAAAAAATCAATAGTAAATTCAACCAACGACAATAAACTAATTTTATAATGATGGGCGTCGTCATTCTAAATCTCAGAGTGGATTTTACGTTGAATTAAAATAATAAAAATACGTATGCTAAACGTTCATATTTAACCCTTTTGAAACACCTGGATTTAAAGTTTTAGTGCGGCTATTATTATGATAACGATGATAATATTCGCACTGATATCTAAAAATGCCCTAACGTTATTGAACTTGTTTTACTTTCGGAAATGTTATAATACTCGTTTCATAAAGGTACTTACTGTGTCTCCGCTGAGGAAATGAAAAAATAGAGAAATTTCCATTTTAAAAGTAAACCTATTTGTTGTTTCTCCGTTTATGAAGTGATAGAAAACAGACAAAAATTGATAAATTTCCTTTTTAAAAGTAGCTTCATAAATATATTTGTTAGGCCTTCGCTTATGAAGTGAAAAAAAAATACAGACAAATTTCCTTTTTCAAATTTCCTTCATAAATGCATTTCCTGTTTCTCCGCCTGTGAAGTGAAAGCAACAGACAAAAACAAGACAAATTTCTTTCCCGTTAATACACAGGAAGCGACGCCTACCGTGAGAGATGATGGGAGGACAACGGCTCATCCTCCCCCACAGGTCACGGAAGGTCAGCCTGGGTCAGGTCACTCACACAGCGAACTATTGCCATATCACGGTTTCTGGATTACGATGCTATACGATTCCAATAACCCTTTTATAACAACAATAACAACAAAATTAAAGAAACAGGTTATCATAAGACTTGTTTCAACCACGTGAGAAAATAACATATATCACAAAATAGCCTCAATAACGAGGACATCATTAAACCGAAGCTTAAGACAACCGCGATGGTAACATGACTAAGCTAGACTGACCGTGAAGGGAGGGAGAAGGGGGGGGGGGGTTGTACGGTCACACCCTCAGAAACTATTGTCACTTTTAGTCCAGTTTGTGCCCCAGCTCGAAGTCGAACTGTGTCTGTGTGTGTGCGTTTGGTGTGTCGATAAATTACTCCATATAACGTTTTTTAAGTTATCAAGCCAAACGAGTGAAAAATTGGGAACGTTTTGCGAGGACTTCAACAGAGCGAACGAGTGAAATTGGGTGATATTCAAATCGATACAAAAAGAAAAAAATATATAGAGAAAAAGTACGAAAGAGGAAAAGATTGAACAGAAATAGATAAAAAAATATATCTAGAAGAGAGAAAGAAAACGAAAAAACGAAGAATACAAAGAGAGACCGAAAGAAAAAGAGATAAAAAAGTGATAAAAAAACAATTCTCAAAGTCTCCAACACTGACAAACTCTCAACCGAACCAGTCTTTCCTCGACGAACCATTCCCATCGACCAATAAAACAACAACAACAACAGAAAGAAAAAAAACGAAGAGAAACACACAAAAATAATTCTAAAACCAACCCTCAAAGTCTCCCGTATTGATAAACTACTTCAACGGTTTAACGAACAAACACGTACTTTGTTTCCTACCGTTACCCTCCCCTAAACCCCCTCGGCCGCCGCCCTGGATTCGCTCGAGGAAATCCGGAACCAAAGAATCCTGGACTACCACGACCTCAACTACTACGACTTGGAAAACCTGGACGATCTTGACTACCACATGAGCTGGGTCAGGAGGTCGTGGGGCGGGCAGGCGGGCGTGCCTTCGCCGGGGAGTACGTGCTCAAGCGGTTTTTTGTTTTTTTTCTTCATCTTCTGGGATTAGATTTTCCTTTTTCTTATTTTTTTTTCGTTTTCCTTTTCGTTTTCGTTATTGAAATTTTGTTGTAGTTTTCTTGTTGTTCTTTTCTTCTAGTGTTTTTTATTAGTTTTTGTTCTTTCTCGTGTTTTTCCCGTTATTCTTTTCATTTTGTTTTCTTTTCTT